TCCATCTTAACTCTTAACTTTCGTCATTTCTCCTGAACTAAGAATTAGAAAAGATCGTATTCATTTCTGATCACACGAATTCATAAAAAAGATTTTACTCTCAACAATACTTTAAGAAGATTTAGATTAATTTACACAACCACTCTAATCCCCTTTAACTTTAATAGTCAACACAGGGGATTAACATCAGAAAAGACCAAGGGGATCATTCATCAAAGTAATTTTCAAAAGCGTTTGAAACTCTAATCTTAAACAACAACAATCTAACAATTGAAAACACGTTCCCCCAAAAACTTTCGCCATTCACAAATTTCCAACGTATTACAACACGTAACAGGCGTGCCAACCCACGCACTCTTGGCAGCCCATAAATCCCAAAACCCAGCGCGAAATATAACGATTCGATCGAACGGCGGGAAAAGCTTTCCTCGATTCAAAAAAAAAAAAAAAGTAAGCAAAGATGAAAAAGAGAATGCTTGCTTACTTTGACAATCGGCAACCGTGGGTGATCCTTGCGCGCACGTCCCGGAATTCCCGTTTCCACTGGTTGGCTGGACCGCGCCTAAGCTTCTGTAACCTTCGTCTGACACTTCGCTGCAATTATCCGAGTGTTCTCCATCTCCGTGTGGCGACTTGGTGTAATGTACATTCCCTGTTACATCTTTGCTGAAATTCTCCAACACGGGTTCCTCCTTGATCGCCGGTGGACTAGGGGTCGGGCTACGGCTGCTAGAATCCTCGCGACACTTGTAGTTGTAAATGGTCGGCTCGTATTTCGGCGTGTCGTCTTTCTCCACTGCTCTGCGTGCCACGCCACCATCGACAACGTATCGTTTCGTGAATTCCTCCGTTAGGGGGACTTTCGTGCGGATTTCTTGATGGAGATCCTTCTTCGCATCCTAGGGGAAAAATTTGGGGGGAAACCTCTCTAGTTTTTCTTGAGAATTTTTTGAGAAAGTGGCGTGATTCGTTAACCTCTAACCGAGGAGCAAGTTTATTATTTGTCATTTTATATATTCATTGAATGAATTATCCGAATTAAAAATTAAACTCGACGAAGGAAAAGTTACAAAGTGAAATACAATACTTTTCAAACAAAATCATTTGTCCTTAATATCTTCTAAATCCTTAATCCTTCGATTCCCCCAACTCTCGACTACCCATAATTCCCCAAAATTACCTAACCCAATCCCCTCTCCCCGTTCTATCTCCACTTTACCTTTGCTTCCTGATGCCTTCCATGATGATGGGTCGGCGAACGAGCCTCCTCGTACAGGCTTCTGCCAGCCGAGTCCACCGTGCTAGATCCACTCTTCGCGTTCTCCACTTTGGTCGTCGGACTGTTGGACCTGAGCTGAGCCTTCGGTGTCGGGGATCTCGATCGTTGCTTCCCGAGATCCGACTGATGAACAGGGCTGCCCAAGAACTTCCTCTGCGGCGTTGGGCTTCTCGATCGATTCGTCTTTCGTTGCTCGTCGCTGCTCGCTTGCTGCTTGCCGCCTGGGTGGTGGTGGGGCGTGGGCGATCGGGACCGGTTGCTGGGAACGCTCTTGGCCGATTGCTGATTCTGCATCGTGCCCGCGCACGAACCGACGCTCGACGCCGAACTCCGTCGAGTTCTAGGGGGTGATCTGCGGATCAGCAACCGGATTTTTCGGTCTAACGGGTTGTGGGGCAGGCAACTATGCAAGCTGGACACTCTACGCTTTTTCTTTTTTATGTATCTAATCTATTCAAATTCATATTTCAGAGTTTTCTTATTTGTTCGTTTTTTTTTTTTTAATTTTAATTTATTAGCTAGAAATTGTGAAAAATAGGGAACACGGTCTTTTTGCCCTTCAATGCATATCTTGCCTATCCTTCTATTGTGAAATGGGTTCAACATGTTGGTGGAATTGTTAATTTGGTATGCTTCAGTTTGAATGTTGGTGGTCGTTTAAATTAAGTTGATTTAGATGTTGGGAAGAAGTTGTATTAGAAATATTAGATTTTAATGGAATAGAAGGATCAAGCTTTTTTTCTCTTCTTATAAATGTTTTAAAGTGTTAAAAAAAAGAAAAAAAAAAAGATGTCTTTAGTTGAAAATAGAGAATACAGAGAAGACATTTGCACCCTTAAATCCAGGATTCTTCTCACAGCATTGTAACAACGTTACAAACATAATCTCTGGTGTATAATCTTTTATAGGGAGGAAAAGGTAGAAAATCTTTACTTTGGAACGAATGACAGAATGCAGACAGACAAATGACACCTTAGAACCAGAAAATTACTCACCTTTCGTAATGTACCTGCGCGCTGCCAAGGTCGAACGACCCTCCAGCCTTTTGAATCAATTTTGCTGAGATCATCGAGCGATGTGCTGACAAAAAAAAAAAAAAAGAAAGAAGAAAAAAGAAAAAATTATAAAAATAGAAAAGAAAAAAAAACATTTGCGATCACGCGTGTTAGTAAGTTATGCACATTATCCTGATTGCACAATTGGTCACGATACCCGTTTTTCGCATGGTTTTTGCTAGATAGTCGTTAAAGGATTGGAACGTCATTTAGTGCTAATAGATATTTGTAAGCAAGTTGACTTCAATGCATGGAGACGAAAAGGATTAAAACATTTATAAATAAAAATTGAATGTGTTTTAATCGTGTCGAGGGATAAGAATGAATTGAAAAATGAATGAAAGTATTTTTTTTCTTTTTTTTTTTTTTTTTTTTGTTATTTCGTTTTTATTTTTTTGTGACGATTTAAGTCGAAAGGATTTAATACGTACTCTGTGATGGATATTAAAATGTAATGAAAACATTGTAAGAAACACTCAAAAAACTTTCAATTGGGAAAAAATTCAAACAACTATAATGTTTATCAAGAATTACAAAAATAAGTTCCTTGATAAAATTAAATTATAAGTTAATAAAAGAAATATCTTACATTCAAAGATGAAGGTGAATATGTGCTATTTGTCGTTGATTTAAAATTTAAGTCCTATTAAATCATCAATCTTACTATTTATTTTCGACAAAAAAAGAAGAAACTACTTGAATCACCATATTTTTTTAAAACAAATACAAATCTGACAGTTCGTAAATTTCCAACCAACAAAAAAAAAAAAAAATAAAAGAAAAGAACGGTTCGTCTTTAACAAACTCGTAACACGTAAGAAAATCGAAAGTCTCCGATCATCATCTTTATTTTCGACGACAATGAGCTCATCCTTGTTTAAACTGTCACCGATGTCCCATATTTTTTTATATGTTTCACGATTAGCGCCATCAGAAAAAAAGAAAAATAAATAAAAAATAAAGAGAAGAGATTCCGTGTGAAATATTGAAAGATTCACTTACAAGTTCTGCATCGACACGGATCGTGTTTGTCCAAATAATGGCTAAGGGTGTCCCAACCTCCACCTACTCGAACCATAACGTGGCTTCGAAGGATTCGCACGAAAATCAACACTTTCGTGTCTCCGATTCGATATTTCCCTTCGGAAACGCGAATCATGGGGAATTGAGTGGGGCATGTGCACCTTTCCACTAAATCACGAACCTGAAATATAAAAATAGCAACGTGTTATTAAAAATGTTAATTAAAAATGGGGAAAGATATTTGAAAATTAAATATTTAACATTGAATTTTTAATAGTTTTAATTTTTACCTTTTTAAATATCTAACACGGATGGATTAAATGTATGGAAGAATTCGTATTAAAATGCTATAAAAAAAATTTTATTGTATAAAATTAAATTAAAAAAAAAAAAAGAAAGAAAAAGGTTAAATAATGAATAGATATAGAAATAATATTTCTTTGAAATTTTGAATTTTAAAAAAATAAAAATGTTTAACATATAGATTTTTTTTTTTTTTTTTTTTGATGTACAATTATTACGAACAGTTATGAGAAAATCTATCGTGTGTTAAATTGTTATGGAATTTCAAACGATCGTTCGTAGAGACTTCGAAATACTCGACTAATTAGATTACAAACATAATCGGATCAACTGATATTTCACGTTTTCTTACAACATGTATTTCGATGTAGGATAGATTTAGATTCTAATCTTAAACGCGATGTTAAGAGATACAAAAGGTTGGAAAGTAACTAGATTAAGTAAATATCTTGTGAAAACAATCGATTTAATCTTTTCACTACTGAATTCATTTTTCAATCTAGCATATTTTCCTACATTTCAGAATAAATTTTTCCAACTTCTTAACATACTGAACACTAAAGCATAATGCTTTTTAAAGAATAAAAATATAGTTAAAAAAATTTCCTCTATCTTTAACAATCAAAATTCCCCAAAACATCTAGGGAGCACTAAATATATTTTTATACATTATACGTTTTAATATATTATTTTATTAAATATCTTTCTCTTGTATTCAAGAATCAATTAATAAAATAATTCCTTTTTCCTGTAGCAAAGAAAAAAATAGATATTAAAAGAAAAATACAAATCAATGGATTTACCTTTCTGATATTTACATGCACGATATTTTACGAAAATTAGCTGAACAAAACGATTATTCAATAATCCAAATAAAAATGGCATCAGTTCCCGTTGGATAATGGTCTTCAACCATTCGCCTTTGGGTATGTCTACATTTTTCTGGATTTTCAATGCGGCCAAGTGAAAGCAATACTGCACCCTATCTGTCCGTCCGTCAAATGTGCTCGCGGCACTGCGAGATCCCTCTAAAGGATTTAAATTTTATCGACTTTTAACCGGTTGTTAATTTTGTTCTCACCCGTTATGACGCGGGCAATACGCATACTTCCTGCTTCTATATTTCTAAAAATATTTCCATACAGATGGACTATTATTCGAGGAAATGATGCTTGAAAACATATTATTCGCATATTTGGTTATATAGCAGTTATAGAAGTTACGAGATAGATACCATTTCTTATCAAATCTGATGTTTATTAAAACTTTTTAATGTAATAAACTTTTCGTGTTATGAAAAATCTTTTCGTTATCTTTTCCATAATAGTTACGCGATTTTTAATTAAAATGCATAAATCGTATCAACTACCACGTATCCACTTAGATCCATTAAAATTCGAAATATAAACGTTCGCAAATATAAAAATCTCATATTTGTTAAAATATACACAAAAGAAAACTGTTTCGATTCGTCATAACTCTAAAACGAAATTACTAGATCGAGCAATTCGAACCATTCATCCGTTAATTATCGAATTAAATATACAATTCTAGAAATGAAGATAAAAGAAATTCTTGACGCGCAAAAAAAAATGTCAGAAAAGACTCGAACCAATTATCTCGAATCACTTGGAGAGAGAGAGCCCGTTATTCCAGCCGCAACGCGACCAAACTTTCTTCTCCCGACGTATTAAGTCGCCCGCGTTATTGATTACGCCCGTGTTATCGCCATGGCGAATCAGCCGGGATAAATATATATCATTTACGTGCGAACACCCACAGGCGAGCTTTTGACAGTAGAACGGTGAAAATTATTTATCGCTGGATCGTTGCATCCACACGGTTCACAATTTCTGAACGTGGTGGCGCTCGCATACTTTCTTGCGCGCACCATCTCCTGTGTGTCTATGACAACATTTTTTCCCCGCCGATGATTTACACCAGTTTCACACAAATGCGTGCCGGTATAATTTTCTGAAAATATTTTTTTACCAATCACGAATATCTCTGATGTGGAACGGACAATCGATTAGGCTGCCACGAACATGGAGATTTTGTGATTGGTGGTGGAAGAAAGAGGTTATGTGATGTATGATGTTGAATTTGCTGATAATACGAGACTTTGTTTGAAGGAATCGATAATTTTCGTTTTATTCTATTTCAGTTATTGATGATAATCAATTGGTGGAGTTCGAAGATATCGAAAATTTCAAAAATTTAATTTAAATTCAAATAAAGTTGAGATTATTTTTGAACATCACTTTATATAAAGAACACTTTCTAAATAATATAGAAATACGATATTTACTTTAGAAATGTGAATTACAAGCTATTTAAACTATAAAAGATGGCGCTTGAAGCATCGATTGGAGTGAACGGGGTGTGCCTTTGACAACCAATTATTTTGAAACGTGCTATAAAAAGAAGAACATACGATGTTCTAATTCATTTTTCGTGCAAATTTTCCACGTTAAACATATACATCTCTATTGCATTCTCTCCACAGAATACGTTCAAAAAGAAGAATCCAGAAATATATAACGAATAACGATTGTATAATTAAAACTATGTGCATACAGTATGTACGTGTATAAAACAGGAAGAATCATTGTTCAAACGAGAATATATATGAAAGTGAGATACAATAATCGAGGGAAAGGAATGATGGACGATAAATCATTGTCGCAAACAGTTGATTGGAATTCTAGGAGCGTACACGGTGTTCCTGTTGACGTGGTCGCTTTGCGTCACATCGTTTCTTGTTCCAAATATTTCATTTCACGCGGATCTGCTTCGACGTTTCAAACACAGGATGTATTCGTCCCATAGTGATTATTGAATTATGCAAATCCATCATCTATCATGGGATTCGTACATGTTTCTAAACAACTCGAACGATGTTTCTGTCGAAGTAACAGCATTATTACGACATCATTGGTGATCGATACTGCGATTAATACTGGTTAATTATACCCAGATTTGGAAACAAACTGTAGTTTAAATAATAGTTAGTCGGACTTAGATTTGGAAACAAAGATTCTTTGCAAAGATTCATTGGTTCGATGAATTTCGTTTGGATCGAGTGGATCGATTTCAGTAACATCGCTAAGTATCGCCGACATTTTCTGATTTGCTTTTGCGACACATCGATTGTCTACGACTCAGTAACTTTCTAGGCTATATGTTTTCCATTTAGAAGAACATTCGTTCAAAACAAGTTGTACATAGAATAAAAAATAACGTAAAGATAATAGCGATTCTTGATTTTTAAAAGTGGTTATTATTAATCAATTGTTAATAAATAATCGCTAAATTATTAGTAATTAAATGAAATGAAACAAAATAATAAAAAAAAATCGTATGTATCAATTTATAAATTAAGATTTAAACTTCTTGAACTCTATTAAATAATATTATTAAATAAATTTTAGTGATATCCTTAAATTTTTGACGATCTAGTAACATTTATATGCCAACATAATATAATTTGATAACTAGATATCTAAAAGAAAAATTCCTAAATAAACTAGATATTATTGAAGAGTCATTAACATCGAAATAACAGAATTTCCAGAATTTAGACGGTACAATGTGGCTCACGTATCGCTCGGAACAAATAGTATGGCGCATTGCAGGTGAGCGGACAGGATGAATGGTTATGATGCTATAATGCAAGGCCGCTAAGGCTTACGTAATAGAGCCTAACCTAACGATACGGAACAGGGTTTGTTATCGATGCAATCGTTTAGAAAGATTCATAGGAAAAGCTTAGTTAGTTGGCAAGACTGGCAAGACATCATAGATGCGATACATGAAAATAATCGATACAATATTAAAAAAATATTATTGAGAATTTATATAATTCAATAATATTGTTAAATTAATGCAATTCAAATTAATCTGTTGCTATCCTCAAACGAGTCTACTTTTATTTTAAATACGATGTATTAATTGAATTAAAATTATTTTTTTTTTTTTTTTTACTTAATAATAACGTACAAATACCAGAAGAAAAGAATGTAAATAATAAAAAATGCGATATATTTACAAATCTTTCATTCTCCATATTTTATAACTAACCAGAAAAAATTTTTGCAAGAGGGAGAGAGAGAACTAATTATAAGTAATCACTCGTCAATTTTACCAAAAAAAAAAAAATCTATCTGTCATTCAACTTGGAAGAAGCATAATAAAACTTTGAAATGCGAACAGATTAAAGACTAGGCGTAACATTTTTTTATTTCCTTTCTTGGCCACCAAGGGAAATTTCTGACAAGCATACATTAACTCTCTTATTCTTTTATCTTTTTTCCCCCTCGACGTTCTTCCTCCAAAGACGTGCATTAGTTTTTTCAATTTTCAGAAAGCTCGAGCTAAGATGACTGACATTGACAGGTTCCAGCTTCGTGCGCCGATAGTTAATGAAAAATGGACGAGTCGCGTTGTTATCGTAACAGCACCATGAGATCGCGTAAACGGTAATTACTCGCGATACGAGGAATTATCCAGCCATTACGGTCGATTTCAACCTTCCGTTTTCTTGTGAAATCGTTTTTTCTTTTTTTGTCGACTCGTTCAATCGACTTTCCCTGGAACAGTGACGCAAATGGAAAATTTATCGGACCGAACGAGAAAATGGCCGCGAGCAGTTTATCCCTAAATTGAATCCTAGGGTACCCTAGATATTAAAAACAAATCCGAACAAATTGAGATATTTAAGGTGAAAATTTTTTCACAAAAATTATAGAATACCGTTTAATGAATAAATGAACAAGTGAACATGTAGAATTTACCAAGATGTACACGTTATAATTTTTTTTTATAGCCGACTTAATAGCTTTCAATATATTATTATTTAATAATTTGCAACTCTAGATT